TTTTGGTTGGTTTTCCTTCAGTTTATATATATATATATATGATGGTTTATTGGTGATTTTGGTTAACCATAAAAGTTTAAAGCTAGTTTAATTGAAGAATTAATCTGGCACACTTAATTGACTTTAGTTATTTATAATAGGCAATTTATGGTATTTAAGTTGCATATGTATCAAATCATGTCAGTTTGGCATCTACGACACTGATATTAACAAATTTTCACAACATATTTAGGCATGTATGATGTATATCAATATTTATTTGTTTAAATTGTTTTTTGATATGTACTATTTTTATAAACAAAATATTATTTCATTTTTTTTAAAAAATATTTTTTACAACCGATCACAGTCTACCCACAATTCAACAAACACCGGTTGAATCCCAATCTGGTGGTTCTGACAACACTGCTATTTACAATAATTATTTTCAACTTTATACATAAGTTATGCACTCTAATTGTAGAAATAATCAACCTGTTTGGATCACAATTATAAATATTAATAAGCTTGTTTTACGTAAGTTGAAACAATATATTTTTTTATACACTTATCTCATATTCCGTTGGAAAGTGATAATTTTAGGTTCAAATCCTGTTATCAAATATAAGTATTTTGTTGGCAGATAATGTATAAAGACATACATAAAACTTAGTAAGTAATAGAAGATCAATTCACTGTATGAATGAAGCCGGAGTCAGACTGGAAATGGAGATGGAGCGAAGAAGGAGGGCCACGAATTTATTTCATTATCCCATCAATAATGGGGCTTTGATGGGATTGTATGATCTTTGGGTCCCTCCTTCCTCAATGTTGTTTCTGTTTTGGTCATAAAGCTTCTTACTAGTTTTGTTTGACTTAAATGGTATTTATTTCTTTCTTGGGGGGAAAAATAGTATTATTGTCACCATTGATTTGAATTGATTAGTACTGCCTAAATTTTTTTTCCAAACTAAAACATGGATGAAGCAATTATTGAGTTAATTCAGCTAACTACGTTAATTAAGTCACTGGCTCAGTATCCAATCAAACTTAATTTGATTTATTGAATTAATCTAATATCTATGAATGTTTCCAAAAAAAAAATAATTGGATTGTATGGAGAAGTTCATTTGAATAAAAGAATACATTAAAGTCACTGCCTCACCGTTTTAGTGCCTAAAATTGGCATTCATTAACTAAATTAATTTGATAGATTTGGCACTGTTTCCCTTCTTAATAATCTTGTTTTGGTTGAATTATGCTGAATTTGCTCAGCCCTAATTTTGACTTAAATACAATAATTCAAGGTTAATTTTAACGTTTGACTTTCATCTCCATTTTTCCCCATTTAATAACGATGTTAGATTTGCCGGCCAAAACAAAATAAAGTAAAAAAAAAAAAAAAAACATACTGATATATGTCAGATTAACATATATAGTTCGTTAGTTGGTCAAAATAAGATTAAGTGGTTGGTTAATCATAGAATAGATAACGTTCACATCGTCTTATGTCATCTTTATTATTTGTCATTTCCTCCTTTATAATTCAAATCAACCCCATCAAAACAATTAATTTGCAATTTCGTTTTCTTTCGGTTAGCAATTAAATGAACTAAAAAGAAATAACTGTTATATTAGTTTTTTAAAAAAATGAATTAAGGACACTATGGCCAAATTAAACCCAAAAAAAACAAGAGAAGACAGAACTACACTTAAATGAAATGATCTTTTCTGAAATAAAAATACTAAAACAGATGCAATTTCAGAGAATCTTTAATCGCTTATTTTTGTTTTACTCGTCTCCTTAATCTTTGCCCTGGTATTTTAATAATGTTGCTGACGAGGATACTTAATTTTTAATTAGTGTCTCATCATTGCAGCAACAAGCCAAATGACAACTAAAACCATGAGAAAATCCCACCGAGAAAGTAACCATGTTTAATAATTAATGGATTAAATGCCGATAAATTTTTTGTCGGCTAATTTCTCAAGAAATAATTTAATATCTCGGAAACTTCCTGATTGCTTGCTTGTATATATGTTGTTTAATTATTAAGAAGTCTAATATAATTTTTAAAGGTAAATATAATATTTTTAATGTTAAAGTAATTTTAATGAAATCTTACTTCGTATAATTGTCAAAGATAAGCTTGAAAATATGAAATAAATGTTAGGGAATTAAATTTTATTTGAAATTAACTCGATAAACTATTTCTGTAGTTGCAAGGAAAGTTGACGGCAGGACTTCAACTTTATTTACTTCTCAAGGGATCTAACCTTATTTTTTTCGAATTATTCCCTATCTCCATGTCATTGCTTGCTCCTTAACTATATAAAACCATTTGGATTTAAATTAAATTATTCATATTTGTTACTCATGTATTTTAAGTATATTAAGGGATCTAGCCATTTCCCCCTGACTTATTCCCGACTGACAGATATCTCCATGTTATGGCTTGCTCATTGATTATATAAACAGTTTGGATTTAAATTAAATTAAATTACATTATTCATATTTATTATTCATGTATTTTAAGTATATTAATGTTTTAATATAACCTAAGAAACTAAATTAAATATAATATCCTAATTTTTACCTTTTAAAAAATTAAAATTATTATTTAAAATTAAGATTTAACAATTTAAATTTATACCATATTTAGATAAACAACGAATTCAAACACATTCATGTGTGGCAAGGAAGCATTTGAACATTAGCATTTAGCAATAATCAAATAAATATATGAGGAAATTCAAAAATTTAGATTTGGAGCCATTGACAAAGAGCAAACATAATTTATACACTAGACAAGAAAAAGTTGAAGTTAGGTATCGTCAATATTACAATAGATGCTATCTTTTATAGTTCAAGTAACAAAATGATGGTTATTTAATACTACCTCCAATGTTTAATATAAAATTTAGTTAACTATTCTGAAGAAATAAAAAAAATTACTAAATAGCTTAATTATAACTTATTTAGGTTAAGATGTAAATTTGCTCATGAAGTTTTTATTTAGGAGCGTTGGACATCCAGAAATTTTTTTGGAATCTAATTTGCCTCAAAAGTTTAAAATCGTAACAATATTATTTTTATTGTTAAAAATGCTAATAGTCTACATCACTATTTTAATGATTAACGTAAGTTTTTTAATGGTAGATGCAATATTACTATGATTTTAAACTTTGTGGACATATTTGCTCCCCAAAAAACTTTCACATACACAGTGTTTCTAAATAAAAAAATTTGGGACAAATTTGCACCGTAACTTTATTTTACATGATCTAATACTTATGTGTATCATCAAATAATATATCAATTTATAAGTGATGTAAATTAGTATAGAGAGAAACAAAAAATATAAATATTTTAAAATAACCTAATAACTTTTTTAATTTTATCAAATTAGTCAATTGGATATTATTATAAAAAGGGTAAAGCTACATCCAATACCCTGATTATTTACGCTTCATCATACTCAATAGCAGTACTACCTTTGGTTCTTAATGGGATAAAGGTACATTCAGTATCTTAATCTTATTTTTTAGATATACCTATCAACCCGATCTTTTGTATGATGTATTTAGCATCCGATTTTATTTTTCTGGTACATCTAATACTCTGATATTATTTTCTTAGTTATATCCAGTACCATGATCTTTAGGGTGCTATATGCACTAAAAATAATATCATAGTGTTGGATACCAAAAAAAAAAAACAGAATACTGGATGTATCATACAAAAAATCGGGATGCTAAGTATACCTTAAAAAAATCAGGATATTAAATGCATCTTTACATTATTACTACTATTGATTACGATGAAGTGCAAATGAAACACGAATTATCATTCCCAATATACTGGTGTGTGTGTGTATAACAGTTACTGGGGGTACTAAATCGACTATATGAGAAAATCTATATTATTATCAACATCGAATCATCGATCAATTTCTTCTTATAAACAAACAATCATACTTGCTATTAATTTTCTTAGATTTTATACAGTATACGAGGAATCCCCGTATTTATAATTTATAACTAGATGTTAAAAAATTTAAGTTAAATACACTCAAGACTGTAATTCTTTTTTATGTTTATGTTAGAGTTAGGCACAAATGAAGCATCGCTTTCAATATATATATATGTATGTATATATGTATATGCATATGTATATGTGGATGTGGTGTATAATACAGCTCATTTGTGTTAATATACTAAATATACAAGAAAATTCATATTATTATCATTATCAACTCATTTAATATTGAACAAAATATCTACAACTAACTTTATTGCTATAAAAATCCAAAAAATGCTATTTTTCTTTTAGAAGCCATACCATATATATTAGAGGTCCACGCCAAATATAGGGATACCCTAAATTAAAAAAAATGTAAGTTAAATAATTTATAAATCATAATGAGTTTTATAATTATTACGCCAAAAAAATAATGTGTTTTGTAATGAAAGACTACCACCACATCTGAATGTGAGAACCAGTTTTTAATGCCCATTACGTTACAAAATGAATTTCATATTTAAGATTGGCAGTAGTCAAAACTATAATCACCATATCACTATAACAATATATTACTATATTGTATGATTTTATATCTTTTACGCAAAGTCGTTAATTTTTTAAACTAACGTGAACAAAAATAATTTTGTACAGAAAATTTTCACCTCTTGGTACTAGATTTTACAAAAATTACCATCATTCTAAAAGTTCAATTTTGAACATTTTGATTATAACATTCTTAATTATAGTAATAATAATAGCTATCTGTTTTTTAAAATTTGATGTGACATTTAATAATAATTTTAAATAAATTATATAATATTGATTGATGTTAATATTCATTTTATTATTGAAAAATAATTATATTTTTTCAAAATTAATTTATATAATTTTTTTGGGAAATATAAACATTTGGCAATAACTTTCCCTTAATATATTCACACCATGATTTAGGGAATCAATCATGAAAGCCATGGTTTCCAAATCTTGCTAGCACCACCTGTGTGTCTAGTAGCCGCAAAAGATGCTATTCTTCTCCCGCTTTACCAGTAGAGCACTGCGAACCCAATTAAGTATTTCCATCTCTCCCGTCATTATTTAGCTTCACATTACCTCTTGTTTCTGTGAGACTGTGACCTGTTTCTGTTCATCCTTCCTTTCTTCTTTCTTCTTTTTGTTCTCCCTCAGTTACATCACAAGTTTCTTCTTCCTCTTTTATCCTTTTCAATTCGTCGAGACATGTGGGTGTGGGATCACTCTTTGAAATCGTCATGAGCTTCTCGAGTCTTCTGTGGAGGTTTTTTCCACTTGTTCTTCTTGTTATTGTTGCTGTGAATCCGTGTTTTGGATTAAACAGAGATGGTGTTTTGTTGCTTTCTTTGAAGTACTCTGTTTGGAGTGATCCTCTGTTCTTGCTGGGGAGCTGGAATTACTTGGACCAGACTCCTTGTTCGTGGAAAGGAGTTACCTGTCGAGCTGTTTCAGATGCCACGAATTCTTCTTCTCAGGATCGAGTGGTTGGTTTAGCTCTTCCCAATTCTCAGCTTCTGGGCTCCATTCCTAACGATCTTGGTATGATTGAGAATCTCCAGCGTCTCGACCTTTCTAATAATTCTCTCAATGGGTCTCTTCCCTCTTCACTTTTCCAGGCTTCGAAGCTTGGGTTTCTGGATTTGTCTAACAATCTGATCTCCGGGGAGATTCCGGATTCCATAGTACAGCTTAGGAATCTTCAGGTTCTTGACCTCTCCGACAATGCATTGGCGGGGAAGCTTCCCGCCAGTCTTGGAAACATGCAGAATCTAACTGTGGTGTCGGTGAGGAATAATTACTTATCAGGTGGTCTTCCTAGTGGCTTTCGAACGACACAAGTTTTAGATCTATCTTCCAACTTGTTGAACGGATCTCTCCCTTCGGATTTTGGTGGGGACAGTTTGCGACTCTTGAACATCTCCTTCAACCAATTTTCCGGGGAAATCCCCAAAGAATTCGCCAGGAAAATTCCGAGCAGCGCTACAGTTGACCTCTCCTTCAACAATCTCACCGGAGAGATTCCAGATTCCTCCGTCTTCATCAACCACGATTTGAGTTCATTTTCTGGGAATCCCGATCTTTGCGGAGAAGGAATCAACAATCCATGTCCCGCTTCATCGTCACCAGCTCCTTCACCAAATGCCACTTCTCCGACATCTCCTCCTGCATTCGCCGCATTTCCAAAGACACTCGATTCTCCCCCGCCGGGATCAGGACACGGGACTTCGCAGCAAAACAAGACAGGACTTAGAAGAGGAACAATCATAGGTATCGTGGTAGGGGACATTATAGGCATTGGATTATTAGCTATGATATTCCTTTACGTGTACCAACTAAAAAGAAGGAAGCGCGCGGAGGATGCCCTAAACAAGGAACCTATCCATGGGCCATCATCACCCTCGTCCTTCGACTCAAGAGGGTTCAGAAGGTGGTCATGCTTGCGGAAAAAAACCGACGAAGAAGAAGAATCATCATCAGAATCCGCAAGCTCTTCTGACAACGAAGTGGACGCACAAAATGGGGTTCAGAGACAAGAATCATCATCGCAGAACAAAACAGGGACATTGGTGACGGTTGATGGAGAGAAAGAGATGGAGCCGGAGACACTTCTAAAGGCGTCAGCTTTCATACTGGGTGCTACAGGTTCGAGCATAATGTACAAGGCTGTACTGGAAGACGGCACGGCGTTGGCGGTTCGGAGGATCGGCGAGAGCGGTGTAGGGCGGTTCAAGGACTTCGAGGCCCAAGTCCGAGTGGTAGCCAAACTGGTTCATCCAAACCTGGTTCGGGTTCGAGGATTCTACTGGGGAAATGAAGAGAAGCTCATTATCTACGACTTCGTTCCTAATGGCAGCCTGGCCAACGTTCGCTACAGTAAGTCGCCTCACTCTTTCTGGCCAAATTTAATTGTAATTTTAATAAATGAATAATAGGGTCAATTAAAGATTAGAACATTCTGTTCTCGTGAGTTGAATGATCTTTTACCTCAGCATAGTAATTAAGTAGGATGCGGGTGTGCTTGGGAGGATGAGAGAGTTGACGGTGAAGTAGGTGCAACTGAACCCTTTTCTTTAATGCATGCTAGTCAATCTTTTCTGAGTCGCCCTGCTTTTGTGTATAGCTTTCTGATCACCAACCGCGTGCACATAATTATCAACACACTCCCATTTCTTTTTTTGTTTTTGGTCCTCTGACGATATAAAGTTTCTTTATAAATAGTTGGCAAAAAGGTTTTTTTTTTTTATATAAATAAGAGATTATGAGTTTTATTTCCCTTTTACTCCTCTTTTTTCATAGGAGATTCTCAACTAATTTTCACGTATTAAGAAATCAAAGCTAAAGTATCAAGTCTCTTATGAATTAATACTCTTTCTCTGATCTAATTAACTAGTTTGAATAGATTAAAGATATTAGTTAAATTAGTTAATATGATATATTTTTTTAAACACCTTGATTATCTTTCTTAATTTTTTTCTTCATCTACTTGATTATTATTGAGAAAATATCAATAAAATTAATTTTTAAAAAAATAATAAATTTATAAAATAGGTTTTATATTAAAAACTGGAGGATTAATTTGGTTTATGTTTAACCCAACTTAACTGATGTTGACAGAGAAACATAGGGTTCAAGAAGTTTATTAGCACTAAAATGCTAAAATTGGAAAGTAATAATTAGTGAGTTGGTTGATGGCCTGTATTTAAGATTTAAAGATATTTTTTTAAGAATATGGCTTATAATAATAATAAGGAGTAATATGAAACGGTTAGTGTCTATTTTTTAACTTTAAAAAAATAACTTTATACCTTTTAAAATAAAAAAAAATTATGTTACTCCCATTTGTCTTCTTTCCCTTGTCGTCTGCCCTTGCAACTGAAAGAAAACAAAACCTTTTTTCCTCTGTTCTGTCATCCATGTAACCCCACCTACTTACACTCACTCTAGCCGAAATAGATATAACTTGAATCTGGATTGAATTTTCCTTTCCTCGGATTATATGAATTGAATTTTCTGAATTCATGAAAATCAATAGATATTTCTTGTCCCCAGTAAAAATCGTTATACATGATAATAAATATAAAAATTATGCTTCTTTTTCTTGTCCCAGTGTCTTGGGGTGTGGATAGTTGTGTGAACAAAATTTCATGATAGATGTGCTTTGCGTGGCGTTTCAGGGAAAGTAGGGTCCTCGCCTTGCCATGTGCCATGGGAACTGAGGCTGAAGATTGCTAAAGGGGTGGCACGTGGGCTGGCTTACCTCCACGACAAAAAGCACGTGCATGGAAATCTGAAGCCCAGCAACATCCTCCTGGGCAATGATATGGAGCCCAGGATTGGAGACTTTGGGCTTGAGAAAATCGTAACAGGGGATGCCAGTTATAAAGCTGGTGGGTCGGCCCGTATCTTCGGCAGCAAGAGATCCACTGCCTCACGGGATAGCTTCCAGGACATTAACTTTGGGCCAAGCCCGAGTCCAAGCCCAAGTTCTATAACAGGTGTCTCTCCCTACCATGCGCCTGAGTCGTACAGAAACCTGAAGCCCCACCCAAAGTGGGACGTCTTCTCGTTTGGGATCATATTTCTGGAGCTACTGACAGGGAAGATTGTGGTGACTGATGAGATGGGCCAAGGCACGGGGGTGTTGGTGGAGGATAAGAACAGGGCCCTGAGGATGGCTGACGTGGCAATCCGTGCTGACATGGAGGGGAAAGAGGAGGCCCTGTTGGCATACTTCAGATTAGGGTATAGTTGTGTGTCCAGTGTCCCACAGAAGAGGCCGTCGATGAAAGAAGTGTTATATGCTCTTGATAAAATCACGTGCTCCTTTTCTTCCTCTTCCATGGGCTCTTTCTACCATGGACACTAAGCCCTGTGGCGTTCTGTTCTCTCATAATACATTTGTAGAAAGTTGTATTTATGATTGACCAATAGGAGTTTGAGTTCGGTACCAATGGTGTGCGTTCCGCTTGCATCACCCATATTCATTTCCCTAGTTATCTAGGAATAATCTTTCTAATTTTCTTTAGGTTCTCGTGTGTTGATTTAATTCTTTCCAAGCTACCAAATAAAAAAAAATTACTCGATTTACTATCATTGTATTAGATCCCCAGAATTAACCATTAAGAGAATATTACCTTCAATAAAAAGATACGTATAAATATTAAAAAAATTCAAGAATTATTTTAAAAAATCCGGAAAATTTTTTTCGGATTTACTAGTAAGACTGAAATGTGACATTAAAAATAACATACAAAGATTAAAAAGTTAATTAAGTCAGTGATTAAAAAATTAGTGAAGTTAGTAATTTAACTGCGATTTTGATCAAGGAAGTGATTCAGACAACTGTTGTGAGGACATGCACGTTTTTGAAAAACACTGAAAAGTAAGTACGAAATTTGACTCTGGGAAGCAGACTCAGAATTATTGCCTGGCTCATCTGTCACTTGGAAAATACCTCCCACTCTTACGCTGCGCACTCCGCTTTGTGGCTCCACAGTCTTAAATTCCCAACACCTACAAAATTCCTTCATATTCACACATTCATTGGTTTCAAGAAACATTTACACATTTGCTTCCCCTCTGTTACATAAATGCATTACTCCTGTATACAGTAGACACGTTTCCCATTTTATCTCATAGCAACCCATGTGGAGTTTCAATATTCCACACAAATTGGAGAATTTGACACATGACTCTGCTTGTTCCCATATATCTGGTGTGAACTTGAATCCAAAGTTTCCATTCACTTTTTTTTTTTTTTTTAATATTTCGTTTTTTTTTTTGGCCAAGAATGTAGTATAGGAATAAGAACATAATAACCAGAGTTGAATTTGAACGACATAATCGTTGTCAAATTGATGAGGAAAAGAAGGCTAGCTACCATGTTTGAAAATATATACTAACCAGCAGGCAAATTATCGAGGGGCATTAATAAGTAATAACATCAATATGAGCGGCTTAGAGCAGGCAATTGCATAGGCTGCTCCTGAGATCGGTTCTTCTTCAACACTGGCTCCTCTGCAACTGAGACTGTTCCTGAAGCCCACGAATCATTTGAACTATCATTGTTAAAGAACACATCAATCACACCATTTGGGCTTCTCGGTTCAGATCGGCGCTTGCGTCTGCCGTGAAGATTTTGAACGTCTTGGTGACAACATAGTATTCCCAGAACAAGTTCATAACACTGGTTCACTTGTTCCTCCTATAAGAGGTTACCATCAAAATTGTCCAGTAATTCATCAAATTTACGAGTATGGAAGTAAAACTATAGAGAGCAAACCTCGCTGATTTTGAGCAAAGCCAAGAGCTGGTTTCTGCATTCCACTACATTAAATGGTTCAATCTCCCGCATAACATGGACCATTGTAGCAGCAGCAATTATGGAGGGAAGATAACTCATGACCTTTGAATCTGAAACAAAACGAACCAATTCCATCGTTGGAATGCTATTTTAATGTAAATGTCTCTAGTTTGATGTCAAACATGGAAGACTAACCACATAGGCATTAGCTTACCCGCAAGCACTAAAAGCAGAACGCGTTCGCATCGCCAGAGGAATTCGTAATGCAGGTGGCTCTTTAAACGGAGTGCTCTCACAGTGTGTTCGAAGAAGGAGATTGGAGTCACAGGATTCATCCTCCATTGGAGAGTTGTTAACACTAGAAGCTCCATTCTCTTTAAATCCTTTGCTTTGAATTCGTACTTCGATTCCTCCGCCTGGTTCAAAGGCAAAATTCCCAACTTTTTAAGAACTGAACAAACAACACTGACCCGTTTTCAACAAATCCACCAACAATGTTATACGTACTTGAAGGTCTAAGAGATGTGACGCTTGGGACTCCTCCATTTTCACAGCCACATGTAAACAAGCAACTACAGCAAGCTGTGTCGTCCATGGCTTATCTCGCTGGAAGTTCAGACTTTGGACGAACCGATCGAAGTAGTTAACAGCAAGAACAGTGGTGAGAGCAGAGAAATTTTGGTGAGCACAAACCTTTAAAACCCATAACACAGCCTCTTCGCGAGCTTCCTTTAGAGGCTCATCGATTAATAGATTACCCGGACCGAAATGGGTCCCTCTTTCTTTTGAGATTAGAGAAGCAAGAACATCGTCGTCCAAGAAAACATTATTGTCCGACAAAATCAAAGGTAAAGACGGAGACTTTTCCCGATATCTCCCTCCTTCCGTACCATCCTCTGTCAAACCATCTTCCTCACAGAGAAGCGCATCAAGGGACAACGAGTTCTGGGCATCTTTTGTGAGAATCATATTCTTCAGGGAAAATAAAGGGAGAAAAAGCCTTGTTCACTCATTCATATCCTGAAGAGAGCAAACAGAAACATGTTAAATCAATGGAATCCATTGTTTGCTTGTGGCATTTCAAAGACACAGATGGCGTGCGTATCTGGGAAGGAGTGAATAACTGACGAAAGCGCATCATATCCTGCGTTTAAGAGATGATTGTCAAGACATGTTCCTTCCAATGTCAAAGCGCTTGTTGCACACGCTCTCGTTTGTGAGGCGTTGGCAGTAGAAAGTAGGAGTAGGAGCAGGATGTGCGTTCGCAGGGTGTTGGGTCCTCGAAGAACGAAGCGGACAGAAACTGACGAGGTGTTGGGGAGGTAACGGCTGCCACGCGCGAGGGAAAGGCGTTCGGGTCGTCAATGGAATCGTGAAGGCGTTGACGGTGTCCAACGAGGAGAAATGGAGGATCGTGCGGGGGCAGCGCTGTGAGATAGGTGAGGCGCCCAACGAAGCAGCGTTGTAGTCGTACTGCGGGACTGTTGTATTTTCTGACACTAGCAAAACGTGGACCAATAAAAACAGTTGGTCAAGCACGTTCCGATTTATACTCGGAAGAAGAAAAATACTCCATCGCTCCGACCAGAGCTGTCAAAACCGACCAAACCCATCAGTCCAGTCCTTTTAACTTATTTTAAGTAGAGGGTCGGGTTTATATTTTATGTGGTTTAAAAGAAAATTGAGTTTAAAAATACCAACTCTTTAGAGCCAAGGGTTAGTCTTTTTAAACCTGTCTATTTTTTTTTATTATTATCAGTATATTTATAAAATTATAGATTAGTCTTTTATGAATAAGTTTAAATTAGAAAAATACTTAGAAGAATCAATACTCAAGCTAGATAATTGAAAAGAATTAGATGTCTTGGACTTGTGGAAGAACAATTAAAATCAATTTTCAATTCTTTCAAGAATGGTAGCTGATATTCTTAACATTTTAATCACCATAATAGTTAGTAGATCTTCATTTACCATCGGTTTACATATCTTAACAAAGTGTAAAACTTTTCTTATTTAAACAAATGTTCAGACTCTTATTTGTACTTATAATTACTGCATAATTTTATTTTAGATAAGGTAAATGAAGACAAAAACTTTAATATTTTTATTACTGAAGAAGAGCGCACTTGTAGTAAAGAACAATCAAATATTGCTGATCTTGATGATACTGGTGAAGATGAAGATAAAGATAATAATGATATTGATATTGTTAATCTTTAACTGCTAGGTTTTTATCTTTCTGTTTTTTGTGTTTTGTTAGATTTTGATTTTTTTTTATTTTGGACAATAGTTTATTGGCTTTTTTTTTCTATACACCACTAATTTATTTTACTTATATTTATAATTTGAATAAAAAATCTTAGAAGTTTTGTTCTTTTATTTTTTATTTTAAAATAATTAAAAAAAATTTAAATTTTAAAAAATAATATAAAAGGGCTAGCCCTTTTAAGCCCTGAACTCGCATGTCCAAAGGCCGAGCTTTCAAGGGCTAGCCCTTTAGGGCCAGACTGGCTTTTATTGACAATTCTAGCTCCGATTATAAGTTTTGGAAAGGCGTGTTTTTTATTTTATAAGTTTTAATTTGATACTTGTTTTAATATTTAATATATTTTTTAATTTTATTTTTAATTATTTATTTATTTTGTTATAATATTTCTTATAATATTTTTTCATATATTATCTTTTTTTTCTTATTTATTATAAAAGCATATTTGGAAGCGAAAATATATTTCTAACCTATTTATTGTTTTTAACTAATTTTAACTAATTATTTATTATTTATAAATTAATTATTTAAAACTTATAATAAAAATCAGAAGAAATAATTATTAAAAATGTCAATAACAATTTAAACAGTTTATAAGTTTAAGAGTAAAAAATAACAAGTACGGAGACTTATTATGTAATTCTCCTTTTATATTTTTAAGTGGAAAAAAAAACCGATCTACCCAAAAACGTCGCGGTCCGAAATCGAACGGATGTTACTGCACAATTTTTTTCTTTTTTCTTTTCTTCAAAAAGAAATGCGCTACTATCTCCACTTTAAATTGCCTAAATTTATACTGATACCCTTACACTGTAAAATTTTCAAAAGAATTTTAGTACCGGTTACAAAACTAAGTTGACGTATATTTTGACGTTGCACATACTTGTTTTAAAGAGATTACGCCACCTTTATTATTAATTAGTTAATTCATGTAACTTTCCTTCAATTCAACTCTGTTGAAATTTAATGATCCAGAATATAAGTCAAGATTTAGATAGTTAAATACTCCTCCGATCCTTAATATAAGACTCATCTAACTAATTTGATTAGATTAAGAAAGTTAGGTAAGTTAGTTAATTATAAGAAATGTGACACGTTTTTTCTAAAATATCATAATCATCTTTCTTAATATCTCATCTTCCTCTTTTATTTAGTTATGGTTGAGGGAATATCCATAAGGATAATTTAGAGAAAACTGATAAATATGAAAAAACGGGTCTTATATTTAGGACTAAAACTAACTTAATAATTAAGTTCTATATTAAGGACCGGAAGAGTATTTTAAATTATCATTAATCAAAGTATGAAGCAGTTTGAGATTTTTAGGGAAGAATGCCAACCATTGATTAAAAGCAAACAAAAGAATAATTATGTTTACTGCAAATGTTTAACTAACTTCACTAACTTTAATTATATTTTATTTTTTAATTATATAAATGCTTTTTTTGGTGTAAACTTGGAGTTTTCCAAATTATTTTGGACATGAGAATAACCTCTATCAGATTGGGAGCATTAAATTAAAACCTGCCCAATTAGTATGTTTTTTGATATTTAAATTTGTATTCTTCTTTTTAGAAGGTGTCAATTTAACCAACAGCTTAGTTGTATATTAACATATTTTTGTTACCAGTATTAATGCTTTAAAGGGAATGTAATAACAAAGATTCCCAACTAGATTTTTATAGAAACCACTGTGAGCTTCATGGCTAGTTTTTTTTTTTGTTTTTTGCCAATGAGCTTCATGGCTGGTTTGAAAGTAAGAAATGAACCATATTATGGTTCACTATAAATTTTTCCCCCTCTAGAGAGATGTGAATTTAAATTAATCCAATGTTCCAAAACGGAGTAGTGAATTTAAAATTAAATACAAATACAAATAGCTAATGTGATTTTTCAAAAAGCAAATACTCCCCATTGTTATCATTTAGAAATACAGTTACAACAGAGCTAGAAGTTAATGATTAAGTTATTTTAAATTAAAATTTAGAGACAAAGTTATAACAAATTAAAACTATAGATATTAAAATCATTCTCATAATCATGAGAAGGAGAATTTAAATTCAAATACTAAAAAACATATTTATTGAGTGAGTTATTTATTAACTGTGTGAAACCCAAAAGAAATTAGTTTTAAGTATAATATAATTTGTGATATCCTTATTTCACTTGATTTTTCATACTTTTTGTTGGCAAGAAATATGGTGTTGGTGCGTGGGAGAAAGAAACGGGCAGAAGTCCAGAGTTGTTGTCGGCCATTTCCGAGCTTCGCCATACCTGAACTTTCTTCCTCCTTCTTCCGGGGCTCATATTTTATGGGAGTATGGTAACACAAAACAATAGGGCACTCAATTCGATCCTTTCCGCCAAAAAAAAAGAAAAGAAAATCATCCTTTAATACCCTACGTCCTACCCCTACATAGTCCTATCTACTATGAAGCATGAACTGGATCTTTTTATGATCCCTTGAAGAGATGAGAATAGGACGAATCGTTTAAATATTTTTAAAAATTAATTTTAAAGGGTACGTACGTCTGCAGGTCAAATGAAGTTTGATGACAAGGAGACATGAAAGGTTCATTTTCTCTGCTTAAGAGATCTCTGAAGATTTTTATGGCCTCCTTTGCTTTCGGAATCTGAGAGTCCTGCGTTTCCACAGTGTACTTTGTTGCTTGCTTTCTCTTTCTCTTCTTTCTCTGTTTCATGGCCCAAGCGGCCAAGTTCAGTCTTTCAAACACAGCTTAGCACTCCCGCCACCGGGAAGTCGAACTTAGAAATTTAATGTAATGAGTATTTAGATAAAAATTAAATCATAATTTTAAAAATAATTTTATAATATACAAAATAAATATGTAGAAGAATTTATTTCAATTTATAAAAAAATATTTTTAGAAAGCGTTATCACCCCCATCATCTAATACAATCGCTTCTCTTGAGGTTTTCCTTTCTCTTTCAATGCAAAAACCATTTCGTTTCGTCACTGAGCCAATCATATATTTTTGCCAATATATCCTCAACGCAATGACAGTCATGAGATATCTCGTTTGTGAGGGATGGAGTAACACAATAAATAAGGAAGGTTTTTATTTTCTTTCATAACTACTTAAAATTTAACATTTTTAAGTCAAATTTCAGATATGATTCATCTAATAGTACCTCTTGTTTTTAATATAAAAATTAGTTAGATATTGTATTAGATATTGTACTTGATCTTAAATTTATATGTTTTCTCTAAAATATCCTTATTAATTTTAAGGGTTTCTAATCAAGGGATAATTTTAATGCACCTGATTAAATATGGCAATTTATACACAAAAGTCAATACATATTTGTTATAATTAACTAATTTAACTAATTTTTTAATATCTCCAGATTAATTATCTAACTTTTATATTAAAAACTGAAAGCCAGTTCACCGCAGCTTTGCTTGGACTATATCTGGATCTGACTCGTGTCGCACACCTAGCTATAGTGGGTGAGTCTCCCAACAGGAATTTCTGCATACGCTGAGGCTCGAACTCGAGATTTCGCTTAAATGGTACCAAGCCGCTTACCACTTGGACCAACTTTGATGAGCTTTCTCTGGGTGCAGCATGCCTTATGGTTCTTCATCTAGGTTCTTGGCTGTTAACTGGTTTGTTTGGTTCTTTCATTTCTGTGGCTTTTTTACTTTCATCCAACTTTGGGTTAGTAGTATCGTTTTCTCTCTTGGTATGACTTCGGTTTATTTGCTTCATGATGCGTCTTTCTTCCAATGAAAAGCATGTGGCTTACTGTCGTAAGCATTTCTGGTTTCTTGAAGTTGTTGGAAGTAGCAAGGAATTGAAACTTCATACTTCTTCCAAGCTTCGGTCACTCAATTTTTTCTTATTGGCATGTTAGAGGTATGGTCAGAATTGTTCAGCAAGTGATGGACAACCTTTTTGTTATCTTCTTTGGTGATTCTCGAGAAGAAGTCTGATATTTTCTACATATGCTAATGGATTACGCGTCAAAGGGACGTCCTCAAATTAAAAAGCTTGACTTGTGGAG